ATTTTTGCGTATTCAGTTCGGGAGAATTTTAAACCCTGATTGATCATTTTCATGAATGATCAATTTAATGTTTATTATACAGATGTCCCAGTCTACCGACGGCAGTATTTTTAAGTTACATAGCAACAATTTACTTTTTATTATTGGAACAATATGTATTTTGGCAGATTTAGAACTTTTATGTAAAAAGGAAAAACCGAGTTCAAATACAGGGGTTTGTTCGTCGAAAAAATTATCGTATTTAAAAATACACAGCTTCACCAGTTCCAGAGATGGATATTAAACGTTTGGAACATCGAGCAAGAGAGAGCTACATTGTTCAGAGTGGGTCATAAACTTGCAAATTGTCAATTTTTTCATATTTTTCGAATAGAGTATTTGTAGTTTAAATATTTGTGTGTAACGTTTTTTTTTTTAATATTCGATTTGTTAAGAGACAAATTTGTTATAAAAATCAAGTTCACATACAGGTATGTTCAAAAGTGAGTACGTGAGTAATATGAGAAAAGTGACAACTTGCGAATTGAATCACCCTCTATTAATTTATTATTGTAATCCAACAACTAATTAGAGTTACGTTGAAAAACATCAAAAGACAAATTTGAGACGTCTTTTATCGCTGCTTGAATGTAAATAACAAATATATGGCTCTAAAAATTTGTTTTAACGTATAAATAAATATAACTGTAACTGCAAAAAACAGATAGCAGAATATTATATGTAGTCGATAAATTCTAGTACGACAACCCATCCATCTGAATAATTTTAACTCGCAGTTTCTTTTTCTTTTATTTACTGGACAGAAACTTGATATCCCATGAACAAATTCTTCTATTGTGATAAATAATTCCGATACATTAACCTCAAACAAAACATTATTCTCTAAAAGTTAACAAAAGATAGGAATATATTTTAAGAGGTATTGTACATCTGCAGTGGGTCGAAGTAGGGCAATGAGTTGCCATTTCTATCAGAATTTTGCGCAACATAAAGTATGACAAAAATCAATTGGTCAAATATTACTTAACAGGTTAAAGATCAGTTCGAGGTCAGTTGAATTTCACTTTAGAAAAAAAAAAATACATATCGTTGCACTCTGTTTTATTAGTAAGTCAATAAGCTGTAATATTTACAACAAAAACATGTTTAATTATCTCATGCTTACTCAAGTATGAAAACCAAAAAACTTACAGTAAGTTCAGTTGAAAAAATCTTACTGCATTAATTGCATTGTGGTGACAACAAGTGTAATTCTCTAATTGAAACGTAAGCCAAAGAGTCATTGTTTCAAGATTGCGGAAGACCAACAATACACACATTCAATTATAGTGGAGTTACCGCTCGATTTAAGAATGTATTAGACCCAGGATAGTGTTTCAAGAGTAAGACATGAGTATGCGGCAATAATTATATACACACTTGTTTACACGGAAAGGTGTAGGTAGGTGATAATTGACTATTGGCAGTGTGGGTTTGGCGAAAACTTCGTTCTCAACTTTCATTGTCTCAGCTTTGAAGATTTGTTATAGGAAAGTGCCGAATCATTGAACATTGTTCGGCTTTTAGTTAGCAACTCTTTTGATCATTCGCCTGAGAATCTTTTTATATCTCAATACAATGCCAGGCTGTCACATCTCCACAATTTTTGTTTTTCAATCATCATCACATTCCGTAACTTTTAGTTCGACCTTCGGACGAGTTGCACAACTATTGTACAGAAAATTTCTTAAAATCTCTGGAAAGTGTAAAGACTGCCGAAGCCAAAGTCCGCTTGCCCGACTGAATAGAGCCTGGCCATCGCCTTAAATTTAAGACCTGTCCGATTTTGAATACAAAAGGGATCATGAGTTTGTTGAAATCCAAAAGATTTCAGGCCATGCGTCAATGTTACGTGCTGTCGATTCTGAGAAAAGAGATTGTTAGGGATCTATTGAATGGTTTTCGGTAGGCCTATACCTTTAACGATGTCGTTAAAATGTTTGTTAGTTCGGATGTTCCGGTCTAAAATCCCTAAATAAATCCAACAAATTGCAGAAAATCCACATTAGAAGATGTTTATTTATGTCTTGCTTTAAAAGACTTTAATGGTTGGGGAAGAAACTCGTAAAATGGTGTTGCGTCAGTATAAACACTAGGCGTTAGATTTCCTAGCGGGGGAGTTGAAGATGATGGAGGAGACGTTGGATAATATATGGTTATGGTGTCAGCAATATGGGACACTTTTTCAGTCAGATCCAAAAGCTTGGCATGTGTTTATGAGCTATAACTATAAGTTAGTAAAACTCTCTATTGTATAGGAAATATTAAGGCACTGAAATAAATTCGTGTCGATTAAGTGTCTACAGTTTCTTAAGACTTTTTTTTTAAATAAATGAATCAATCAAATGATCAGACCTCATCATGAGTGTTCAAAATTTATTTATGCAGTAAGAAAAATTGTATCGATTTTTTTTTAATGTCCACAAAAATAAGGCTATGATTACAAAAAGACCTCACAACGTTGAAGGTTTCGAGGTCCAAAGAAATGCATGTTTGTTGTTTTTAGCAAGTTTTTGTTGTACATTTTTTGTATTTAGTTCACTTGACCATTAAAAATGTATTAGGCAATTGTGTCGTATTTTAAGCCATCAAGCAAAAAATTAAGTCCTCGTAATTAAAAAAAACAAATAATTAGCGTTATTATTAAATTTATTTTCCATATACATTATAATAGGTGGTACAATAAAATTTGCACCGCCGACGAAGGGACCAACATGATTTTCTAAAAGTAATGGTTGCTAGTTAATTTGAATGAAAAATTTGGCAGAAAAAATTAATCATGTGTAATATTCAGCTTGATAATTCCGAGAAAATTATTTGTTTTTCAACTGATGGGTGGTCTAGGTAGTCGTGGTCCCTCCTATAATTCAGTAATTGCTTCAAATTGACACACATTTATTTTTAAAAATAATAAATGGCAATTTTAGCAGAAAAATATATAGAATTTTTACTATTTTTATTTTAAATACTGCCTATACTAGTTTTTGTGAGAACTGAAAGTTACCCGTTCAATAAAAATAGTTACATTTAGAAAACTATTTTCTCAAAAAATTTTACATCGAAATTTTTAATCGAAATGTCAATTTTTGTGTTTTTTTTTTGTATCTACGTCTAACAATGACATACTTGTAAAATACGTTCGCAAAATTTTTATTTGATTATTCAAAAGTAAATATTGCGTTTGTTTGTAACTTTTATTACCAGTAAACAGAAAAAAAAAAAAACAGATTTGTTGTATCTAGTCTGTTTCTGAACATACAAAAAAAATTAAATAATCTGAATTTAAAATTTAACAACAGTTTATCACATTTAACGAAGTCGTTAGTAGTTTATTTTCTAATTAAGTTGAAAAAAGTTTCATTCATAATAATGTGGTGGAGAAATATAATTTTTTCTAGGTAGGACATACTTCGTAAGATTTTTAAAAATTCTGACAGGGAAACCCCACCTTCTTTTTTGTGGTAAAAGAACATGTGTTTAATCATCATAAACTTAATTTAAAGTTTTGAGTAACGTTTTTATCTCTTGCGGTTTTTTGGTAGAAAATGCAGGTTTTGGTACAAAAGGTCGTAATTTATTACAGCACATAAGACAGCAGCGACAAACCTAGTCACCACAACTTTTTGACAAATTTAGAAAGTGTTAGGACTTTGATTGTTAAAAATTTCTTCTTACTTAGTATTTAGGTCTTACTTCAGGAAGTAAGATCTAAATACTCTAGTGTGACAACAATGAGGCATTCGTTAGGATTCTAGTAATATGTGTGATACAAGACTGTTGATTAAACTTTGTCTTTCTGAAACGAACAAAATATGATTATAGATCTCTTGGGTTATTTTTGTTGGGAAGTATTTTGACAATCCTAAAATTTCTTAAAATTTTTGCCTCTAAACTGCGATTTCTAAAAATAATTGTCACTTGTATTCCAGAAATATTAGATCTACGAGGATACAAAAATTTAAAATATATAGTTATTTGTAGTGCACTTTGCATTGACGATTTATGTAAATATGTAGACTTAATTACTTTCATAAAAAAAATAATTTTTTGTTTACTTAGCTTTTTATGATCGAGTTTTCTTCTAATCTTTCATAGTATAAGTAGACATATTTTGGACAAGAATAAGAAACATGATATACAGTTGACAGTGTATACAGAATGTTAAATAGTTTAAATCTAGAGGGCCGTCACACGACTTGATAGTTTTTTGGGGTCAGAAGGTGAATAATTGCCATTCTCCATCAATATCTTGGCCAGACCGAAAATAGGTCTCGAAAATAAATGTATCTTCTTTTAGAGTCCACATTTTTCCGTATCCTTTGTAATTTAAAGAAATACATAAAGATTAAAATTTCATTCAAAGTGTAACAACTAATTGACAGATTAATTAATTCAGCAAAAAGTCAAATGAAGCGGCACATTAATAATTTAATTTCATGGTCCACTAGATGTAAATTATTTATTAACAGTCTGTATACATTTATCTTATTTATTTCTGTTTTTTAACCATAATTGCTGAAAGCGTGCTACTACGTATTTTTCCTTGTTTAAGATAAAATTTGTGCATATGTATAACAGGAAGATTTTCAAGTAAAACCCAGTCAACTTACACAACTTGGCTACAAATGCCACTAAAGCATTACTTGGCTAAACAACTGCCTCCATATTTTCAACTAATCCTTCTGTACATTCATTAGTTCTAAGAGCTTCGCCAATTTAGTGTAAAATTTGACTAGGCTTTAGCCCAAAATCTTCTTCAACTACACATGTAGACATAAAAATTTCAAAAACGTGAAACACCATATATTGAAAAAACGTCACTAGCAACATCCAATATTATAAAATAGGTGCACTAACTGTTGACGCCTTCATTCACCCACTATTCTTTGGGAAAACATAAAATATTTCCTTGTTTCGAAAACGCTGCCGTTGTCTTTCAGACTAACACCTTGAAGACTCACCCTGGGGGCGTCGGATGGTGGAAGGGTGCTCCTGGAGGCTGCATTCTGGGGTCCCAAACGTATCGTCCTTCGTGCGTGCGCTGGTCAACGGGAAGAGGCGCGTGGAAAGCCGCAAAAGCCGACGGAAACTGTAACGGAAGACCTGCAGACATAGCGGCTTGGAAATCCGCCTCTTTTTCGGGCATATCGCACTAGTCACATCACTAATCGTTTCACAACAGATTGTCACAAAAACGGAGGCTCGCGGCCGCTGGCGCTGTCATCTAGCAATTTCTTAGCTAATTGGATATGTCTCAATTAATGACAGCCACAAGACGTGTCTTCGGCGGCACGCATGCGGCGGCATCGCGCTCAATTTCTGATAGGGTAATTTTGGCCGGACCGATTTTTGATTGGTTTATCCAGTCTACGCACTTAATCCAGGCACTCGGGGTGGTTGATATGGTTTGTTTGATGAAGACATTTTGTCGCGCAGGCACTTTTCGTCAGTTTTGCTGTTGATGCGTGAGGCACATGCTTTATTTGTTAATGGAAAGTACGACACAGCCAGCCTATAGACTACGGACAACTAACTAGAGTAGAGGCAGGCGAGTAGTTGACAGGCAGGCCTTACAACTCAACTAACGAGTGTGGAAGAAGGGAGCACGGGGAGGGGCCAAACCCAGACCGACTGCGAGGGAATGGACTCAACATTCTGTACTCTTATTCACGCAGTGGCGTAACAGCGAATGGGAAATGAGCAGAATGTTCACGCCAGTTTTGACACCAATGTCGCGGAGCGGACTGCTGAAGTTTTTATGGTGCAGAAGAGAGCTTTTGGCTGCTGAACAGTAAGCTTAACTTGCACTGTGGCGATCCGCAGACGAGTACAAAGCAGTGTTCACAAACTTTACTTTTGATGTTTATGTTTTCTTTACTTTAAGAAATAAAAGGTGAGGCGTAAATCTGATTTTTTTTCAGTGTTAAAAAAAGCGAAACTATATTTAAACAGGTTGATTATTATTTTAAAATGCTAAATACACTATTACGATCCATTTTTATAATTTTTCCGGAACTCCACTTGTAACAAACAGCTGCGTCAGTTTCGGTATCTACTTCATTTGAAATTTGTTTCCACTTTCCTCCAAATGGTGGACCATTGTACATGGGCGAGGTGCTTTAGCCTTATTAACTTGCTTTAGAATAAACTCTAGAATTTCTCAATCGGTCAGTTTTGAGAAATGTTTGGTGGGTTTTCATTTTGGGCTGCATGATCAACACCGACCTGAGTTACAATTTTTTTCCTTTTTGTAATGTCATGTTGCACTATCAGACCAGAATACCACTCTCTCAACTGAATATTTTTCTCGTATTCAAGGAATTAAAACAGGTTTTATATATTGGTTTAAATAAATTCACCATGTTGAATAACCCCTTTTTGGTGACATCGATCCATCTTCCGTAATTGCTTGCCAGATCATCATTTTTTGAGTGCTTTTCTTTTATTTTGAACAGAATAGTAGTTAGAGTCTCGATTCTATAACTAATAATAATATCTAATAACGTGTAAAATAAGGATCACAAGCGCTTGTGGTCAATAATATTCACAAGTTTGATTGTTACTTTCGTATAGTCGAGAGACCAAGTTGGAAACCAAAATGGTTTGTATGAATTAATTTGTCACACTCAAAGTAACTACATTTTGATTTTTACCACAGATTTAGTTATTTTTATAATGTAAGTACGAAACAAATGGGTTTGAAATTTGAAGGAGTTATATCATCTCCCTCTTTATGAATGGATATTACGCTAAATACCTTTAGAATGTTTGAATACGTTCTATGCGTGATGAAAATCTTAATTCAGGTTGTCAAAAGACAAATGATAATGTGTTTAATAAATATTATTAAGACCCACCACTGACCCGGAAATGACCGGCATTCAGGCAAGACTTCTATCATTACGGGTACTAAGACCAAGTAATGATATGCGTTGATTAGATTAAGACCCACCACTGACCCGGAAATGACCGGCATTCAGGCAAGACTTCTATAATACTTCTTAATACTTTTAATTAATCTAAAGTACGAATTGTAATTATTATCTAAGCTAACACTGTTATTCATTTCGTCAATAATCGTTCAAACATAATTAAATCTGAGATATCTGTGTTGATAATTTACAGGACAGCTATTATATTCGTAACGTGAAGACCTCTCTTGACGTGCAAAGCTCAGGTTAATTTCTAGAAATATCATAACAAATTTCAATATGATCAAGATCTCTTCACATTTTGGAGAAGGATACGAGTACAAGGTGAAACTTAGTGCTTAGAGAGCTAGTCAGTCTAGTTGCTTTTTTCAATGACAGCCTACTGTTATCCTTCCCAGTTCTTGCCTGCGAAGAGTCAGTGGAACTCTTACGTTTTATTAACTGCATATGGAGCTAATCATGTACATACAATAGAGCAATAGAGCAATAAGAAACACAAAATAAAAGGCTGCCATTCTGTTTTGACACTTAAATATGCAGTGATTTCACATTTTGATAAATTTAGTATGGGTTATTAGTGATAATCCTCTCCGTCACCAAGTTCTGTTTAAAACTTTAATTGAGTTAAATATATAAGAGATCACATTTTTGACAAATTTTTCATTGTATATTTATATTGTGATACTCCATAAATTTAAAATATATTAAAATTCTGTCGTTCATTTAAATACTTAGTAGGTACATGTAAATCCAGTTTCCAAGTAGTGAGATCATAGTTAGAAAACATATTAGTAGACACAAAAATATTTTTATAAAAAAACTTTGACTTACAACAACCTGCCCATTTTCTCATTGGCCATAAAGAACGAGATATTCCGTGTTTACTGTAACGCCAGTTTTACCGTACGAAATTTGATCGAGTATCGCAGGTAAAGAATAGTAGGTGCTTGTACTTTGTATAAGCGTTAAATTTTGCAGTATATGCCAAACCGGAGACAATTTGTGCGAGTTGCACACAAGATGATACTTTTCGTACAACCATCCTTTTGTTAGTGTGTATTACATTTTCTGATAAATGATAACGTAACAAGAAAACCTTTTTTTAACACATACTGACAAAAATCTGTTGAGTGATTGTGTCGATTTGTAACAATAGATTATCATTTACACCATATGTTCCTAATCTTGATGTCTAACAAGAATCTTTCATCCACTACATAAAAAGCTTTACAGGTTAACTCGACGTGATCGCTTTTTCGTAACAATGTTTATAAACTGAAAATATACAATGTGGGCTGGTTCTAGTACTATACTCGAGATAAAAGCCATGTTGCACCGACGCTGTTAAAGATATAAGTATGTGTACAAATATGTGATAGTGAACACAGGGCACAAATGATGTCGTATCTTCAACTTTAAATATCATTGAACTGAATGCTATTGACTAGAACTGTTAAAGTAACACACTGTATGTGTGAGTAAAAGCTGAGAATACTAAGTATATTTATATTTTAAGTAAATCATTTGTAACAATTCTTAGCATTTTTTAAACGGAAAATAAAAGCTAAACTAAAACAATATTTACTGTAAAAATATTTTTCCCAAATTGCCATTTTTGTTTTCATGTTGTTTAATTAACTAAATAATTTGTTCTTATTCCACATAGAACTATTTTGGACAACTGAGATATACGACTTGCATTTCATTTACAAACTAACAAAATATGACCGTCTGTACTTTAAAATGAAAGAAATACAAGCTAATACAAATACTGCATTTATACGGCGTCTCTTCACGTAAATCTGTTGCCCTGGTTTACGGGTACGGCACTCTGTGAGATCGATTACTATTTTCACTCCAACACCATTTAATATAACTTTAATGAGGTCAGGTCCTACAGTATAATTTCTTTTGAAAGTCCTTCAAAATTAGTAGCTGCTTTTCGAAGATTAATTAAAATTCACCTGTTTTGTATTGTACTTAATGAGATTTTGAGGTGTAGTCATCACTTTTTTTGAAGAGCATGGAGTGGATGAGTAGGGAAATTCCTTAACCTTTTATCGTTTATCTGATAACCTCCATGTATACCTAAAATTTCAGAGTGAACGGTTTGGTAGTTTTGGAGATTAATTGACTAATACAGTATCCAAAATCGTGCATTATGAGAGGCTAAGATTCACAGAATTATCTATTAAGATAAAAATTCATGTGCTATTCTGTACAATGTACAATTAACCCTTCCGTAGCCGTGCCTTTAAGAATTACGTTATAGACCATGCGGGGTAACTCAGGTATCCCAGTGTTTTTTTTTATTTTTTGGTACTTTGAATTTCGGAAATTATTTTAATGGACTGAAAGTAAACACCAAAATACTTATTTTTCATAAATATTTATTTTGTTAGTGAGGAAATAAAGGCAAAATTCTTAAACAGTTTGTGAAAGAGGGTTTTTCGAATTTAACTTTCATGGCAGATAGTTTTACCACAGTTACCACACTGAATTCGAGACTTACGGTTGTTGTAGTGCATGTTTATTTCAGGTTTGTTTTGGTGATCACCAGCGGTCTCTTCATCATAAAACTGTATAGAAAACAAAAGTAGAGTTTTTCTTTTTTTTTTGGAACGTAGTATATAAACACCAAATTATCACAAAACGAAATAAACTCAACATTTCTGGACGCGATACGTGAGGTAAAAACTCATTAGGGACTATACGTTTATTTGCTTGTAGTGTTCCTGTAATTGTCATCTGAAGATCAAAAAGCTCTTGAGAAGAAGGAATAGATGTGAAAAAAATTATCGGTAGTGACGCCTCTCCATGAACCAAAATACGATCGTACCATATCTAAGACAACTTGCCCTTGAGTTGTCTCTCTTTGATTGTTTGTCATTCTGGTGAATACTTCATTATTCAGTATATATGCTGTCTCGAGGTTGGAGTAAACCCAAATTTTTACGCCATATCATCCAGGTATATTCAGAAAGGGAATTTTCCGCGAAATGTGGCCATCGAGTGTAACTGTTGGGCGAAAAATTGTCAAGGCAGGTTTTCACAAAACTATCATATAAATATTTTCCTTATTGTTTCCATTTTGTCTCCACTTGCTTGCATTCTGTTTTTCCTAGTGGATTGTAAAATCGGATGAACTTGTAGATGTCCTTCGCGATAAAACGGCAGTAAAATAAGGCTGCTTGAATAAGTCATCCTTACTCCATATTTCGTCACAACGAAGTTTCCTTCCACCATTCCTTTCTTCATTATTTTGCAAACCAGGTTTAGCGTTGACAGTGTTATGAACTAAACGTTTTCACTGTGCAGGAGGTTTAGAAGAGCATTCAAACCCAGGTTTAATTGTATAAATTTTTTCTGCGGAAGCACCAGATAAATCTATATCATCGTCTTCAGCTTCTAGTTCGTCAGGAATGTGACTTTCATCATTGCTGAAGTCATATTCACTACTACTATCATCGTTTTCTAAAATTTTAGCTAATGCTTCGTCTGTCAAATATTTATCAACCATAATCAATCAAACACTAACAAAAGTACACCATTTATAAAGTACAGATCTATAAGTAGGTTGAAGGCACGTAAATAAGTAGACGCAAGCGCTAAAACAACAGAAAAACTTGTCGATGCAACCTGCATCCGATATGAAAC